CTAAAAAAAGTTAAAGAATATAGTAAAAATACATATAATAAAATTGCAAATAAATTGGCAAAAAAAAAGTGAAAGAACAGAGAACAGTGACAGCAAAGTAATCATAGTTTAAAAGGTTATACATACTAACAAGATGAAGAGATATTATGATAGATAGTCCAATGAAAGAAGTTGTAAACAAACTAGCTTTAATTACTTTAAATACAAAATAGATAAATTTAGATAGAAACATTAAATAGATTAATAGAAGTAAAGAGAAAAAACTAGATTGGAGAGAAATATAAAAGTAGATAGATAAAAACAAAGGAAGGAACTATACAAGTGGAAAAAAAAACAAAAGTGGATATTTCAAGTCAAATACCTAAGTAAGCTACTGCTAATCTTAACAGAACTAAATACAAAAAAACTAAGATCTACAAAACAAATACTTGTATAGTATACAAAGAGAAATCAGAAAATATAGATCATCTTGTCAAATGTAAAGGGTACCAAAGTATATGAAATATTATTAAAGACAAAGTTAGCAATAAAGGCCTCAAAGTATTCTAAAAAGAAGACAGAAAAAAAGATCTCAATAACAAAGAAGCAGTCAAGAAACTATCTTTTGGAAAAATGCAAGAAAAAAGAATAAAAACAAAAAGATATCTAATAAGAAGCTTTATAGCCAAAAAAAAAAAACAGAGATCAAAAAGAAGATAGAGAATAGAAATATAAGATGAAAGATGCTGAATGTGATTAAAAAAAAATTTGATGAAAGATTCCAAACCTGTATATAGAACTTTAAATATGAACTAGTAAATGATTAGAAGAAAAAAACAAAATTATTACTGAAGCCAAAAAGAAAAAAGAAACAATACGAAAGAAGAGACCAATACAAGAATCAGATGATAAAAACAACAAAACTACAGAAAAAGAAGAACAGATAAAAACCCTTGAAAAAAAAATGAGTTCTAAATATGGTAAAAAAATATAATCAAAACCTAATCAGTTATCATATGAAGCCAAACTAATCTTCCTAAACCAATATTACAAAAAAGAAATAATAATATCTGATAAGGTCAGTAGCTCTTAGCTAAGAATTGAAAAAACCAAATTTTTAGCAAGTTAAGAATCTAATATGAAACAAATTGGCTGCTTAGACAGGTTGCATCTGGGTTTTGATGCTGAGTAAGTTTTTATTAGTACAGGAATATAGTATAAAAATTTATATTTAATTTAAATATAAAATTTTAGTACTTCTAATTTAAATAATAAAGGCAGAATCATCAAAAAAAAAAGAAAAGAAACATTTAACTAATACTATAAAAATTTTAAAAAATTTTTTAATTTATTGCTTATTTTGTTATAAAATTTTCTATATATCATATGATTAAAATTCTATACTATGATTGGTTTATAATTAAATATTGTTAAAAATAATGCTGAAATTGAATGATGCTGAAATTCACATAATCACATGATGATTCATATAAACAAATCTAAAAGTAAACTTTAATATCACCAACTAAAAAATTTTACTGTTAATGTTATGATTAGGGTTTGGATATGACCATATTTTAATTACCCTAGTGAAATTAGATGTAATATATGTAAAATCAAAAAAAACCTTACATACCCTAACCCTAACTCTAACACCAACAGCGATAATAATGCTAGATGTTTATACAGAAAATCATCATGTAATCACATGAATTTCAGCATCATCCCCAACAAATATTGTTTTTTATTGTTTTTTATTAAAAAATTTGGATGTTTTAAAACAGATTGTTTTAAAACATTTGTTATCTCTAGTCTAAACCCACCTCAAGTTAATTAAAAATGTTGGGAAAGCAATTTTGCTTATATATGACTACCTGAAACCTAACCTAATCCTAATATAAGATGACCCTAACCCTAAAGTTAATTTAATAAAATATATATTATAATCTGCTCCAGGCTGTATTTTATACAGTAGAAACAATGATTAAAAGACCTGGGTATGATATTAGAAATAATATATATACATAAATTCAATAAGTTTTTAATTCCCCCACATAAAAGCCTCTCCCGATTATCAGACTAATGTCTATACAACAGACCCCGAGTCTATTAAAGGTTTTAAAATTGGAGTGTACCGTGTACCAGAGCCGGGTTTTGTATATGCACTTTTTACGATATATTGGCCAATTCTTAATCTTAACCCAACAAAAATTTTTCTAAATCAAATTCTTTCATTCCTTCTTCTTTTTCAACTACACCTTTCTCCGTAACAATAGCAGTAATCAACTCGGCTGGTGTCACGTCAAAACTTGGGTTCCAAACTTTAACACCTTCAGGTGATACTCTAACTTTTTTTATTTGATTTTTTTCAATTCCATCTTGTTTTAACAATCCACCAATAAAAACAACTTCATCTTCATTTCTTTCTTCAATTACGATATCACGTCCATTTTGAATATTTAAATCAATACTCGTACTTGGTGAGGCTACAATAAACATCACATTATGATATCTCGCGGTTATTGCTAACTGATAGGTACCAATTTTGTTGGCAGTATCGCCGTTTTTTGCAACTCTGTCAGCACCAACTATTATTGCAGTAATTTTATGACCCACCTTGTTAGATGAAGAATTAAAAGCATGAGAAGAAAGCAAGGCGGATACCATTGAGTCACAAATTAGGGTGCTGGGAATTTTATCATGTAATAATTCATAGGAAGTTAACCGTGAACCTTGATTATAAGGACGTGTTTCTGTATAATAAGCGTGTAAGAGGTTTTCTTGAGCATGGAGATGACGAATTATACCAAGAGCAGTGCCATATCCAGATGTTGCTAAAGAACTTAAAGATTTTTGAATTTAAATAAAATGACAATATCAGACATTTTGAAATCATCATTACCTACCCAGTATTGCAATGTGTAACCACACAGATCTTCTTATCACTATTCTTTAAAATGAAATCAGCGCCGTACTTTCCAATATTGTTATTATCTTTTAAATCATTAAGCATCATTTGTTCAGCAGTATCTGCCAAAGATTCAATAATTTGTTTTGAATCAAAATTTTTTTTTATTCCAGAATTTGTAACATCCCATAAAATATCCGAGGTTCGAAATAAGTTTACAGCAGTTGGACGTGATTGATTTAAACGGTCTAACGAATTGCGAACAAAAGTGGCAAGTAATAAAGGAGAATTCAAGATATTTAAAGTTTCAGAGTCTAATGCGTTGGGATTGTTGATAAAAGTTTGAAGTTTTAGTTGAAGATCTATTACAAGCGATAACGCCGCAACGATTCCTATTGCAGGAGCACCACGAACTTTCATTTGATTGATTTGTTCGTATCCCTGTTGAACAGTAGTTATTGATTCATATACTGTTTCATGTGGAAGGAGGAGTTGATTTAAGATTTCAAGTGATGGTGGATTACGAACGTACACAATTGCCTTTAAAGACATCATTGTGCTAACTGGCAGGGTAAATAGAAATAGAGAATAGATTAGCGAACAATCAAATTTCGTTAGATTTTATATTTTTAAAAAATCACGCCTGATCTTGAAATTTGATTTGCACCACTAATCTATTTCTAAGTTTCGTGTAACCTCACGTATATCGATATGAATAAAATTTAGTTAAATGTAGTAAATACGTGATAATTTATTAAGCGTGACTATTAGTTGCACCTAAGTTGCCAACTAATCGATTTGATAATCGATTTGAATAATTTTGAAATTATCTAAAACAATGATAAATATAACGCCTGCAAATGTTAGTACAAATAATTAATTTATTTTATTATGAGAAACAATTATTATGAAGGTATATAGAAAATTGTCTGATAGATTTTAAGCCCTGACATCCACCGTTTCTCCCGCTTCAACTTCTGAGACTTCTATTGGTTTTGACAGTGACTAAATACAAATAGAAGAAATTTATTAAAACTTCATTGAAAAAACAACATAAATATTATAAAATAATACCTCCTCAAGGTCTAGTTTTGTTTTATCTTCTAATACACGAATATCTTCCATAGTCATACCAAACCATTTATCGGTCCAACCAAAAACTTGTCTATGAAACTTAATAAAAAGAGAATGCATGGCCTAAAAAAAAGGTTATTGAAATAAATCAAAAAAAAAAAAAAAAAAATTTTTTTAAGACTAATATAATGTGCTTACATCTTGAATAAATGCTTCAATTTTAGTTTGAAGACCGAACCATTTAAACTCTACAGTAACAAGCTTATAACAAGTCATAACCGGTGTGACAGTTTTCTTCGAGACATAAAAAATAACTTTATATCAGCATATAGAATAAAGTAACAAATAATAAATTTATCAATTCTTACAATCCAATCTCCTTTCAATGGACCTCTACCGGTTTTTTCGGAATGGAACAAGGTAGGATCTAAATCTTCCTGGTAATCTTTCTTATCAACAGGGTCATTTGCAATATCGACTATTACTATTTGACGTTTCTCAAGTAGATCTTGGGAAATATTCAAAGCCTAAATTATTAAGGTATAATGATATACTTATTATTTATGATCATATATCAAACCAGTTAAAAAAAGCTTACATTTTCTACTTCGCCGCGGCTTTTATCAATATGCATTGTTTCAGTAACTAATTTAAAATTTTCTTTCATGTATCCATTCTATGAAATGAATTATCAGTTGTTCTGTTCATAAAATTGAACGTAGATTCCAAAGAATACATACTGTCAAGACTAATTAATTTCATATGTAAAAGATTTGTTTATGGATTAGCATAAAATGAATTGATACTTTTTAACTCTTACGTGTTTAACATGATCCAATACCTGTCCTACAATGTGGGTAAGCATTCCACGCCTCTTCGTAAAGTTCAAGCGCTCCACTAGGTGCCAATGCTCTGAGTAACGTTGGAACTTTGCTATAAATCAAGACTTATAGGTTAGAATTCTTTGTTATCTAATATATATATATCGTGAATTGAATAGAGGTGAACAACAGAAATTGCATTACAGTATAACCTCGATATAGAGAACCTCAATAAACCGAATCAGTCACTATAACGAAGAATTTTTCTAGCTGAAATTGTGGTTTCATTATAGTAAGGTACCTCAATATATCGAAACCTTGATATATCGAACCAAACATTCAAGCTCCAGAGCTTCGTTATATCGAGGTTAGACTATATTTGATTTCATAGTTCAAAGGTGAAAGGAACTTGCAAATGTGTCATATTTTAAAACCAACCTAGAAAGATGATATATCTTGTACGTATATTGACCCCTTCCATTATCGTAAGGTTCGTTCTTGATCACTTCAACGCCTTCGCCTCCGCTAGTTTCGGCTTTTGAAGCCTCGGCGACTGCATATAGCTGAGCAACCTACTAAGCAAGTCGACTTTAAAAAAAAAGGCTACTTCTACAGTATAAAGAATGAGAGTAAGATTTTACTTGATATTCCTCGAGTGTACAGTTGTTAATTACTCTATATTCTTTTATAAGCATTTTATTAAAACGTGTTGAAAGATAATGATCGGCCCGTTCTCAGAGATAACAACCTAATAATTGCTACGTATCAAAAATCTGTGCGTATGCCCCGATTAGGGTTCAGGGCACAGGGGCATGGGGCATTGGGGTGTCTAATGCATATCGATTTACAAACATAGTGCAGGTGATATAGTAAAAATCATTAATCAATTTTTTTATAATTAAAATTTTTAAGATCTGCATGCAATATCAAAAACTATAGAAAAGTTGCCATCTTTTGTCCTTAATTCCTTCTGTAATATCAACCATTTTTTAGTTCTATAAGCACAAAATGTTTAATAAAATGTGTCTTTACATGGTAACAATGTTAGAATTTTTATTTTACTAATATAAAAGTCTCTAATTCGAAGTGCAGTTAGTCTATTTAAAAGTCATATGACTGATTTTATTTAATGTTGTACAAGATAATGATAAATAAAAGCGAAAGAAAAAATCTATCGCTATTTTTTATTTCTATATACAAAAAGGTATTTAATATTTTATAATATTATTAATATTCGTTTAAAAGTTCATAACTTAAACTAAATATCTATTTTATGTAATACAGCTTATAAATTTACAGTTTTTTTGTTACATCGCCAGGTAAGAAAACTGCTAAGAATTTCATATGCTTTTTCCTCCTTAGGAATTTCATTATTCTCTAGTTGCTTAGTGACGTTAGAGCTACTAGTGCTTTTCCAGAGGTTTCGCAACATGTTCTGAGAGATTTCTTGAAGTTCACCATCCAAACCCGAAAGTTGAATGCATGATTCTTGTAATTGAGCATTCATATTTTGGTAGACTTTTATGTCATAACGATTGAACAATCCTTCCAATTGTTGCTGATGGACCACAATGCTCCATATCCGAAATTTAATGAACACATAGATAAGGGGGAACTTTGCCAGTTCTGATATATCAGAATCAGCAAATTTTTTAAATTCTTCAAAAAAATCACGGTGTGCTAATACTTCTAATAATTCAAATGTATTTGAATGTCCATTAAACAGGTCTTCTTTTAGAAGCTTGATATACAATGTCTCTTTTAAAGTTGAAATCCTTAAAAAAGTTTTATCAAAAAATACATTTAAAAAGGCACAAGCGAACTCGGGTCCATCTACACCACCTAATTGGCAAACGCTGAGAGGTAAATGAATCCAGGTTTCCATCCATTTAGTAAACCCGTTTAGTGCACTTTCTATTCCAGCACATAATAATACACGAAAATTTTCAAAGTCTACCACATTCAACTCACGTTCAGCATCAATTAATTCATTGCCAAATAATTAATGAATATTTTCTAAGTAATACTGAAGCCTTTGAATCCATACCATTATTTTATTAGGCATTTTGTGTGCATGATTACCCGGTGGAAGAGTATCTACATTATTCGGTTGGTGAATTTGTGGAATTGGATCATAACTAGTAAGAAAACTATAAATGGGCTCATAAAATTCCTGACCAAATTTAACAAGACATCGTATTTGAAAATTAAATCGCTTATCAGTGAGCCATTTAAGAAATATTTGCTATTTATTTAAATATGATTTTGGAATGTCTTTGGCATTTTCAAGTTACTCAATAAAGAAATGTGCAAAGCAGATATGAACTTCACGTCGATCAAGATATTGTTTGGTGGTTTTGAGCTCATATAACCACCGTTGACGGATAGGCTGTTGATATTGACACATTTCGAAATTAAACAAAATTTTGTAGAGTTTTCTTAACATTTCAGATTTTAGGTTTAACGGACTGTCCTTATCTGAAAGGTTGTATCCGTCATGAAGGTAAAAAGCAAGATTAAGTAGATTATATGGATGCACTTTTAATGACAATCCTTTAACACCATCTAACTTTCCAAATACTTTATTTTCAAAATTTGTTAGGGCGATATGGGTTGCATACAACCCACAAAGAATTCGAAACGATTTAGATGCTGTTAGTGAGTTGAATTTAACAATTGCATCATTGGCCTCTGAGGACATATAAGCCATATTATCTGTTAGTCAAAAATGACATTTTTGGGGTCAATTTCTTTTTGTTGGCATGTTTCAAATACTGCAGCTGAGATAGTTTCGGCATTACAATGAATTAGGTCTTTTACTTTTAGTATGGTAATTATAGGCTTTTCTTTAATATGATTCCAATATAAAAGGCAAATAATTAACACCTTTGTTTCTCCACGTGTACTTTCATCAACCATGATGCTGTAGCCGAAAAATCTTGAAGCATCGACAGGACGGTTTTGGATGAAAGATAAGGCAGCTATTTCATTATTCCACCATGCCAAGGTTGATGTTGTTACCCAGTGTTGTGGCATTTCACCAGTTAAAAATTAATAAACAGCTTTGGTGCATTCTACTGTTGCACATATTGAGATTCGCCTGATAGTACTAATATCAGTAGCCAATTTCACAAATTTCGCATTGTATTCATTATTATTAGCTCTAAATAACTTATTAACTTCTTGTTGAAATTGAGCAGGATGAACCTTACTTGCTTTGCGAATAGAAGACCGAATTTTTGAAATTTGTTTTTTTTTAGATTGTTTGGCTCTTGCTACTTGTACCGAAAGTGAATGAGAAGACTTAAGTTTTTTTAAACGCTGATTCAAGTTTTTATTTTTTAATTCTAATGCACCTATAGTAAGATTATTTTTATTAAAACTAGCATTTATAAACTCATACGCCTTTTTTTGTAAATGGATAGAAATTATTTCTCCTTTACGATCTCCTTGAGGATATGTCATCATTTGAAGAAGTGCAGATGTGTTGAAAATTTGGTGATCAGGTAAATTAAAAAATATATAAACATATCATTACATCTTATTTGAAGGCAAGTGTTCATTTTTCGAGATTCGATGATATTTTTTATCACATAATTAAAATCATCATCATCTAATTTTTCAAATATTGAAATTAGGTGATCAAGTAAGTCTTTTTATTGATCATACTTTCGTGACATTCTGGCATTTTTAAGTTGTCTATTTTTTGCATTTAACTGACCCATTATAGCTATAGCATTTATTATTTTGTGATAGTACACTTGTTAGCAAACACTTTAAGGTTTGGGATTTGGATTAATTCAATTATGTTGAATTGGATTTTGGGAATTTGAATATTTAAGATTAGCAATGATTTTATTTTGGTGTTTGGAATTTGAAACGATTTTTGGCTAGAATGAAATTTGAGATTTGGGATTCTGAAAATTTGAATTTACTTTAACCAATCTATAATGAGCTCTTGGCCCTTTTATAATATTTCGCATTGTAAAAACATAGAAATTGTGAATCACAACTACAATGATTTAAATAATAAGCGATTATTTGATTTTAACTTTTCGTATAGTACACATTTATTATAATAAAGTATATGGGTGCTTTTATTTAATATTTTAGTATAAACTAATAAATTAAAATTATTACATCAATTTGCTTATTATATCAAAATGTAATTTAATCAAAAACAAGTTTTTATTTAAAGAATCGAAGAATGTTTTTCGATTTGTGATTTTATTATAAAAATATAAAGTACAATTATTTTATTAACAATGATTATCTATATCAAATAAAATTTATCGCGATTTGCAAAATAATAAAACCTTTTAATCATTCGATAGCATCAAATAATCTTTTGAGAACAAGTTATGACCAATTCCTAAAATAATTGATCAGTTTCATTGATGTAATAAAAGCATCACAATCACGGTTAATTGTAGAGTGATCATCACTCGAATAATTAACAGTCTACAAATCACGATAATCAAAAAAAAAAGAAATTTAAGAATCTAAGAATGCTTTTCGACTCTTGATAATACAATTATTTTAATATAATATAAATGAAATTCTAACAAATGATTGTTAAATTCCCGAATCATTTTTCTTAATACTCTACAATTATAAACATTGATTATACTATATACGATTACATGCTATTATAATACAAAAACCCTTTTCAATTATAATTTTTTTTCACAATACCTCCTGGAATTATATATTAATACGTGATTATAGAAAAATTTTGATTGTAAATACAAATTCAGAAGGCATTCATAATAATTTTTTGATCTAAAGCTTTTTAAAAGATTGATGTGCATTAATAGCTCTCTAAATAGTTCATGACTAAAATATAAAGCCAACAAGATCTAATAACAATTTCTATACCGTAATACAAAAAATCTTTAATTATTCATTTCCAGTATTACCTTATTAGGATTTATTCATATTTCCACATTTGAATCAACAAGAAAAATTACCGAAATAGCACATTTCCATATTCGAAAGGATAGAATATAATATATATTGTAATACAGTATCATATTTTCCACATTTGTATCAACAAGAAAAATCACCAAAATAGCGTGTTTCTATATTCGAAGAGATATAATATAATACTTGTATTGTAATATAGTATCATATTTTTCACATTTGTATCAACAAGAAAAATCATCGAAATAGCGTGTTTCCATATTCGAAAGGAAAGAATATAATACTTGTATTGTAATATTATATTTTCTACATTTGTATCAACAAAAAGACCGCTAAAATAGTATATTTCCATATTCAAAAGTGCAGTATCTAAACGCTTTGTATAGAATCCTAAAAAGAAGATTATTAAAATAATACCATACTTAATAATTTCAAAATTTTAATAATAATTGATTTACCCATACAGCCTCTAGAATAAATCTATCAAGATCTCTTGTCTGCGAATACTAGTTTTAGGCATACTGAATAATGGTTTAATAATTATGCTCACAGAATCTTATTTTGTTCAACCTATTACAATTAAATAATTACATAAATGTGAACAAATAATATTTTCTTTTCAGAATAATGCAACTAAATCTATAATAAATAATCAGTTAATGATTAATTTTAAAAATCGTGAATATTATATAAAGCCATTTTTTTTTCTCTTTCTATTTATTAATTCGTCTAATTCTCATACCATATTCGAATTTAAACCTAATTTACTATGTCGGCAACAACACCTTATCTTATTGATTCTTCTTCAGATTCTGAAGACACTGAAACCTCTCTTCGAAATTTTACTAAACCTGATCATCCCAAACAAAAACTAAATAAGTGAAAAGCTATTGATTCCTCTTCTAAGTTTTCTCATAATCCCTTTTTTCAATATTTAAAAAAAAAACAAAAATTGATACCAAACTATGAATATTTCAATGAGTCTGATTCTTCAAATCGCTATTTGTTGCAGTAGATAATTCTTAGCCAACAACCATTTTCAGTGGTTAAAAACAAAGCGTTTATAAATTTGGTCTCTATTCTCAACCCAAGTTATGAAATTCCCTGTCGCCAAAAACTCTCCGCGGAAATAAGCAACCAATTTGATTTGGTTAAAATGAAAGTCAAAAATATCTTACAAACTAGTCAAAACAAACTAGCGCTTATCTTAAATATTTGTAAAGCAAGTACCCAACAACAGTTTTTAAGTATTAAGATTCATTGGGTTGATGCTAATTGGATAATGAGATCCTTCTTTCTTGACTTTATTCCTTTGGACGACATATATGCTAGTAAATATCTAGGAAAAAAGGTTCTTGAGCATGTTGAAAATATGGGAATAAAAGAACAAATTATTGGCTTAACTAGTAGCAATGAAGGGAATAATCTGACGTGTCTCGATTATCTTCGAAAGTCCATAAGTCCTGACTTTGAGTATTTAAGTTGTGCCTCATACACCATAAACCTCATAATTAAAGTGGGACAGACAAACTACCTAGACCAAATTCAAAAAGTTAGGCAATTTTGCAATAAATTAAAAGAATCACCTTCGATCTTGGAAGAGATGAAGAGCATTTCTTTTCTTCTAGACTGTCTTTTTTTCCACCCTATAGTTGATGTCGATACACAGTAGAATTCCACCTATTTGATACTCAAGCGGTTCGTTCAAATTCGATCAATTATTGATGGTCTTATACAATTATATCCAAATATGAAAAGCGATTACTTAGAAGCTAGCGATTGAACAATAATTGAAGAAATTGTTAAACTTTTTGAACCATTTTATAAGGCAAATTTAATCCTTTCGGGCACTTCACAACCCTCCTATGGTTCTATAAGATTAATTATTTTGGGTCTTTCAATGCATCTAAATCAATATATTTTCATTAATACATATTATGAAGCAGCCTGAAAAATGAAAGACAAATTGGAGGAGTATTGGACTATTTATCTTTCAAAATTCTCTGTTATTCCTACTCTAATTGATCTATCGACTAAGTTCGAAACTTTTTATATAACAGACCGAGAAATGGCTATTAATCAACTAAAAACCCTTTATTCAACATATAAGGCAAATAAAGATCCATTAGATTTTTTTAGAAATCTTAGAAATGAAGACAAGGTCGAAGCCGAAGCAAAGGAGTTAATAACCTATTTTTCTTTACCTCAAGAAGTAAAAGTAAGTTCCTTATTGTGGTGGAAAGTTAATGCCTCTTACTTTCCAACCTTAGCTAGCATTGCGACAGATCACCTTGCTTTACAGGCTGTTTGTGTTTCTTGTAATAATGTTTTTTCTGTTATAAAAAATAATGTAAATATTACTAGGAGTAGTATTCTTAGAGAAACTGGCAGAATTTCTCTATGTTTAAAAAGTTGGTTCGAAGTAGAAATCATCGAATAAAATAGATCTATTTTTTTCATTTTATCGTTATCTTGTATAATGTTATAATAAAATCAGTCATATGACTTTTAAATAGGCTAACTGCGCTTCGAATTAGAGACTTTTATATTAGTAAAATAAAAATTCTAACGTTGTTACCATGTAAAGACATATTTTATTAAACATTTTGTGCTTATAAAACTAAAAAATGGTTGATATTACAGGAGGAATTAAGGACAAAAGATGGCAACTTTTCTATAGTTTTTGATATTGTGTGCAGATCTTAAAAATTTTAATTATAAAAAAGTCTAACTAGTGATTTTCACTATACACCTGCACTATGTTTGTAAATTGATATGCATTAGACACCCCAATGGAGCATGCCTCAAGTCCAAAGGGCATATCTTCCCCAGTATCCCACCAAAAAAACAGTCACGTGATAACGATAATAATTCTTAAAACTCGTTAAGGTTAGGATTAATGTTATATTATAGTTAGATAATAGTGAAAATATATTAGTAAAATCGCTCAAAGAAATTTTTTTGTTAGTGCACTTAAGGTTGTTTCCTATATGAATTTTTGAGTTATGGGCGATTTTTGGCAAAATGAACGTTTGGTTTGATTTTTTCTGATCGTGTAACATTACACCTGATCTTGAAATCTCATTAGTTTTCGCCACAAAAATATCACGTAACTGTGTTTTTTTGGTGGCGATACTGGGGCAGGGACCCGTAAAAATTGTTTTGAGTAACAGGAAAAAATGGTTTGGCAATGCTTTAATATTGTTTTTTATTGCGATATCAAATTTAGTATAAATTATGTTGATCAAAATGTGACTATCACTATAAGCGAAACCTTATTATAAATTCTAAAAAATCATTCTACTATATTTTTTAGTTATTACAGAGTTGTATACTATTAATTAAATAATTACCACCCGCAATCATATCTATAGCTACATACCTAACAATTTAATTTTTACATTAATACGCAAGATATAAAAATAAAACAAAATGAAGTTAAAATTAAAACTTACACTTAATTAAA